TCTTTTTTCTTTTGGTTTATTTTTATTTTATTTTAATCCCCCTATAGTAAACATACACGTTAATATTAGCGTCAGGGGTACAATACAGTGAACACTTCCATACACCATTTCCTTTGCATACAGACTTGTTTCCCTTTTCCAGTAATCTTAATTACATTTAGTAGAATTCTTAACTCTTATAAACCTCAATTTCTAGTGAAAACTAATAGTAACCAATTGTGAATTGCCTCTCACACCATAATTCTTTAGAATGGTACATTTACGAATTTAACAATTTTTAGAAACCCATGACTTTTCATAGTATAGTCTCTTAATAAAGCAGAAAACATGTTTACTGAGAGACCCCCCAATTTATCTTTTTTGTTTTGTCTTATTTTTTTAAGGTTACTTATTTTTGAGAGAGAAAGAACATGCACAGGAGTGGGGGAGGGCAGAGAGAGAGAGAGAGAGCGAGAGAGAGAGAGAGAGAGAGAATCCCAAGCAGGCTCTGCCTGGTCAATGAAGAGCCCAGTGCGGGGCGGAGTCTCACAAATCATGAGATTGATCATGACCTGAGCTGAAATCAAGTGTCAGATGCTTAACTGACTGAGCCACCCAGGCACCCTGACACCCCACTTGATCTTTAGATTCTCTGTAATAAGGAAACAAAAAGTGCATAAACCTATGGTCAGTAATGAACGTTTTATTATTCTCTCTTATTTGGAAACGATCTGGATATTTAATGAATTTAACTTTAAGGTTTCAGGTTACCCAAGATTTTGGAAGCTATTTAAAAGTTTACCTATAAACCTTTTTATCTTACATTAATTGCTCTCAACAGTTATATGTCAATCACCCATAAAAACTTTATAAGATATCACAGTCATTCTCCTAAGTCTTTTTTTTTTAATTTTTTATTTCTAGGAGAGAGAGAGAGAGAGACAGAATGAGCAGGGGAGGGTCAGAGAGAGAGGGAGTCACAGACTGAAACAGGCTCCAGGCTCTGAGCTGGCAGTCAGCACAGAGCCCGACGCGGGGCTCGAACCCACGAACCGCGAGATCATGACCTAAGCGAAAGTCGGACGCTTAACCGACTAAGCCACCCAGGCGCCCCATTTTACAAGCTAATCTTAACAGTACCACCCACAGGTAGAAAAAGTAGATTTACAGTGTCTATGGACACACATACAAATACACAAGCAGGATATAAACAAAATCTTATAGCCTTTGTTTTACTAATATTTGTGGAGAGGACATTAAAAGCCTAGTTTCCAAGTCTCTCTCTCTCTCTCTTTGTGTTGAGATAAAAATATTACATTTCTTCTACATGGGCTTATTCTGATACAGCATCCTAAAAGACTGAACATAGAGTATTTCATCTCATTTCTTCCCTTTTACAGAACAAAGCTAATTGCAAGATAACATTATAATTTCTGGATCTGTTCATTATTTTTCTTCAGAGTCTAATGAACATTGTGGCCAAGCAGTGTTGCAAAAAGATCTTTTTTTTTAATTAAAAAATGTTTATTTATTTTTGAGGGAGAGGGGCAGAGACAGAGAGAGAGACACACAATCTGAAGCAGGCTCCAGGTTCTGAGCTGTCAGCAGAGGCCAGTGCAGGGCTCCAATTGATGAACTGTTAAGATTATGACCTGAGCCGATGTTTGACACTCAACCAACTGAGCCACCCACATGCCCCCATTTTTTTTTTTCCGTTTCAGAGGTTCATAATGAACTATTGCATAGTTTGGGGGAGTACAGACCATACGGTTGCATTTGGGAACTGAATGGGCATTTCCCATTTTCCTAGAACATGGCACACTTGATCCAAAGATAACAAAAACTACAGCAAACAGCACACTAAATGAAGCCCAGAGTTCCTCTGTGAGTGTTGGTTCCTCCTCAAAGTCGGGACTTCACCAACTGAACGAAACAGCTTCCTAATTGCTAATTCTTCTTAAAAGTCAGAGGTTTATTGACTCAACCACATGGCTTCCTACTCAAGCTAAGAGAGCCAAACCAAAACCCCTTATTTGGAGGCAACTGAATGGGAGGAAGAAATAAGCTCACGTACCATCCCATATGAAGTACTCATCAAGGGAGGTCTGTCCAAACCAAACCCCAAAACTTGTTTCACTGCTGCAGAAGCTGGGACCCCAGGGACTGTCCCTATGACAAAGAGCCTAGGCAGCTGCTTAGACTCATCATCAGACTCCTGTTCCCGGTTGGGAGCCTATGAACCATGTGCAAAGAGCTCCTGGCTGGCTCGCCACATTTGTAACCAAACTCAAGTTCATGTGCCCGACATTCAGCAAAGCCAATCACTAAGACATCGAGTATGCAGCAAGGAAAGGCTTTATTTAAGAGGCAGCCAAACAAGGAGACAGAAGGGCAAGTCTCAAATCTACCTTCCTAAAGGGGGACACGATTTTTCTTTTTCTTTTCTTTTCTTTCTTTTTTTATTTTTTCCCAATAATCATAGGGGTTGGGGAGCACCTTGGGTGGCTCAGTCAGGTGAGTTTCCGACTTTGGCCCAGGTCATAATCTTGCGGTTCACAAGTTTGATCCTCATGTCAGGCTCTGTGCTCACACTCAGAGCCTGGAGCCTGCTTCAGATTCTGTGTCTCCCTCTCTCTGCCCCTCCCCCGTTTGCACTTTCTCTCTCAAAAAAAAATTACAAAAAAAAATAATCATAGGGGTTGGGATTACCTGCATATTGATGAAAAGGGCTGGGAAACTTATGACTGAACAAAGAAGATGGAGCTTGCACATATAAGTAACATACATCCCATGTTCACTTTGGGGTGCAGACTTAAAATGAGACAAAATTTGGCCCTTGCCTTCAGGAGGTCCTCTTAGGACCTTAGGTGAGGGGCTAGGTGCATGCTCCGCGAACCAGTATAAACTGGATTGATCTGGTGTGGAGCTCATTATCTCAAGGAAGGAATGCAGAGCCTTGCTTGTTCACAGGCTGGAACCATAGGTTCCATGACCTTCAGTTTATGCCTCTTCAGAGACAGCCAGTGGATTTGCTAGTGGGGTTTGGAAAGAAACCATAGCTGATTAGGGAGAAACACATCTCTGAAAAACAAGCTTTAAATTAACTGTTAGTTTCAACCTCATTAACCCCAGTAGGGCGTGGTTTCGGGTATAGGTAGTATTTATCATAAGAATACAAACTGAAAAGTTTTGTGGTGATTTAACTACCAATGGCTAGGGCTAATAAATTTTAACCTGATAAATAAGCGATGTCTTTCAATATGAGTAGCACGTGACACTGAACATCACGTGATCACAACTGGGTCAATGGATCTTGAAATTCGCCTTGATATATGAGTTATTTGGATTATAAGCATGTTCCCAGAACAAATTATGCTCACAAAACCAAGGTTTTACTGTATTATAAAATAAAAGGTTTGGGAGCCAAATCTATAGTTGAGGATGTAACTGTTTCCTTAATATCAAAATGTGACCTTGGGATCAGATGGGCTTATTTCTGGCACCTCCACCAGATCTGAGCTGTAATGTATCAACAGAGTAGACATGGTTAATTTGGGCACGTTTCATGTTGCTTTACTACCTGTTCAGGTATTACTTTTAGGAATTTGGTTCTGTGTAATTGGAAAGATTATTTTTCCACACTCCAGTTTATTATTTTTCTCTCATTTTAATGAGACATTCAGTAATTTAACTAAGATTTTTTAAAACGAAGGACTGGTATTAGGTCAAAAACATCCCTGAATTTGATTTTTGTTTGTGCTTGTCATTGAAACCAAGTTGTTTCTAAAGTCACCTAGTGTGCTCCTTCAAAATTGCTGTTTTAATTTTTTTTTTTTTTTGAGAGAGACTGTGTGTGTGAACAGAGTGGAGGGGCAGAGAGGGAGAGAATTCTCGGCAGGCTCCACAGCCAGCATGGAGCCTGACACGTGGCTCAGTCTCACAACCCTGAGGTCATGATCTGAACCCAAATCAGGAGTCAGAGGCCTAACCAACTGAGCCACCCAGATGCCCCAAAATAGCTGTTTTAAATAATTACATATAAAATAAAGCTCGTTTGGGGGCTCCCTCACTGTCAGTGAGGACCCTGCTTGGAATTCTGTATCTCCCTCTCTGCCCCTCCTCCTCTCACTCTCTCTCTCTCAAAATAAATAAATAAACCTAAAAAAATAAAGCTCATCTGTAGATTAACATTGCTATTAATGGGCCTTCAGGATTTTAGGGATGAGCTTGTACTACTAATAACTTGATGGAGTGTAATTGAATTTAAAATTGCTGAGTACTTAATTGATTCCATGTCCTTATTTTCTGACATGCTCTGACATCTGAGCATGTGCTGAGTTGTTTAACTCGGGGGCAGTATGTGCCACATCAGTTCTTAATACTATTTAAATGTGAGATTCACAGTACCCCCGTTTGATTCTTATTTGAATGTATAATAAAGCTCAAGAAGAATGGTTGGCTAGCAGATTAGCTCCCTGCAGAATGAATGAATATGTACGTATGTATTTCCTGAGGGCTTTTAATGTGGCCCCATGGATGTCAGTGAATGAAACAAAAACTATGCTTTCACAGAGCCTCTGTTCTAGCAGGTGAGACAAATATATACAATGTGTGGAGTAGGGATAAGTATTTTGAAGAAAATCTCCTGCCAAGGGATAGACAGAGAGGATATGGGGACATCTGTTCTGAAGGGCCAAGGAAGCCTTCCCTAGGAGTAGCATTTGAATAGATACATGGATACACGAGCCATGCAGCTACCAAAAAGGAAGACCATCCCAGGCAGAGGAAACCACGAATAGGAAGACTCTGAAGAGGGTTCCTACTTATGGTAGGAATATGGTAGAATAAAAACTTTATAGGCTAAAACCATATTCAACCGAAATAATTCACATATACTTTGAGAACTCTACCATGAAATTGGAAGGCACCAGTATCATTAATTAACTATCCTCTTCCCTCTCCCCTTTCTCTTTCTCCCCCCTCCCCCCCCCCCCCCCCCCCCCCCCGTTTTCTCATTTCAGTGAACCTGGAGCGATTTGAAATTCCAATCAAGGTCCGCTTGAGTCCAGAGCCATGGACCCCTGAAACTGGTTTGGTGACTGATGCTTTCAAACTGAAGAGAAAGGAACTGAAGAACCATTACCTCAAAGACATTGAGCGAATGTATGGGGGCAAATAAAATGCTGCTCTGTCATTTACAGGTGTGAGGGAGATGGTCCGGTGGTTTCAGTTCTAGAGTTTTAAGCCTTGTTGAGCTGTTAGAATGTAAGCGGCATCTCATTCTAAAGACATGGTAATAAAAAAAAAAGAAACCCAAAGTGATTAAAATAGTCATTGAATCTACTTTAACTTAGTTTTTGCCTAGTTCTCGTGAAACTGAAGTTGAAAAGTTGTTTCCTGTTAGCTGTGTCATTAATTTTAGAGCAAAATTTTCTGTTTTTAAAAATTAGTCTACCATATGCTTGTTTTCTTAAAGGAAAATATTTAATGTTGAACAAAATAGACTGGAGTTGGCATAGAATGTAGTTTGAGGAAATTCGCATCTTCTAATGTGTATTGTCTTCCTAGTTCAGAAGAAGCTTAAATATTAAGCATGACCAAAAAAAAATACGTATTAACACTACTTCAAAGCAGAAGTGTTGCAGGGCTTTAAAATTCTCTTCCAACAATTTATCTGGAAGGCAAAATTCAATCATAATATAATCTACAGAATCAAATAGTACCTTGGAAAACATTTTAGGATTCATAATTGTTGGCGTAGGTTAGACATAGAATCATTGTAATGTTGTGAATAATTACAGTGCCTGAAGTCTGAATACAACATTAAACACACCAAAAAATACTTAGTAATATATTTAAAGGGGAATTTAACTGTTTTTTTTTTTTCTTTTTGAAACTCGGAGGTCTGAAATCAGTAACTGTAATTATTGGAAAGACTTAAGAGTAAAGTACATTTTAAAGAACGCCAAGAGCCATCTTTATATCTTTGTTCAAAAGAAAGGACTGAGACCATGGGTAACATGGTAAAAAGTGAAATCACATTTTAATAGGAAGCATTTTCTTTGTTCAAAACGTTGATAAAATCCAAGTATTTAGAATTACAACCTGGGAAAGGATTTACCTTTGATAACAGGGATTGATTTTAAAATGTACTCATATTAAATTACCCTTGTAATTTAAGGTCTGCTTGCTGTTGCTGATTTGATTCTTGATCAGTAGTTTGTATTTCAGAAAGCCTTTCATTTAGCTTTAATTTGAGCAAAGCGGGTGATGATGAATGATCCCCAGTATCTTGTTTGAATCTCTGAATGATTCGCTTGGATGAGTTTGGGGAAGTTAAAGGGAAGGACACACTTTTACCGTATTTTCCTGTTTGTGGGAAGAGCTAAGAAACTGGAAATGCTAGATCAGGGAAAAGGGAAGATCCTCAATAAGGGACTGATAACTTGTGCAGTAATTTGGCAATGTGGGCTTCTTTTTGAATCTTTCATTAAGATCTGGGATTCTATATCTGACAGATTTTCACACTTGAACCATAGTTACTGTAAAAAGCAAACTTCTTAATACTGTTATTCTTTGCACTTTTTTCTTAGTCATTTTATATATATACATACATATATATGTGTATATATATATATATATATGTTGCTGACATTTCTTTGTACAGACATAGGCCACCACTGCAACAAAATACATTCTTTTTGCTCTAAGATATTTATAATGAAAATATTTAAATGTTATGTATATGGTGGTAAAAAGGAAAAAATAATCTGGTGTCATTATAAGCAAGAATGAAGGTTTTTGTCGAGATTTCTGTTCAGTGTTCTGCAATGTCAAATCTGAGGCAAGCGCTCTCTGAAGTTCTGTGTATGTGAGTATTCTCATTCTTCCCATCCTGCCTTTGAAGAGTGAATAACCATTGTCATCAAGTAGACTACTGGTCAGCTTCTGCTGTTCTGGCCCACAGTTGATCCTTTAAGGATGATTTCCTTAGATCTTTATTCAGTATGTGAATTTTTACCCCCATTTGGAATGGTGATTTTAAATATGTGAATGCATGCATACCCCAGTGTCTGCACCCCCACCCATTCCCATCTCCGGAAAGCTAGAACACTGCCAACTAATCTGTTGTATACGTCCTTTAGAAACATGGAATTAACACTTCAAGTTGGGTGCTGCTAATTCTTTGCGAAATCCAAATATTGTTAAGGGACCAGGGAGATGCCACTACCCCCTAATTTTTCATCCCCCCCCAAAAAAGATATATATATACATGTTTATGTAAACCAGTCGTTCCATGTTCATAGTGACTTTTCAAGTATTTGAGGCTGAAGATTTTAATCCTACATTTTTATACCTATTTAAATTGTTCACTGTTACTCTGACATGTCAGCCATCAAATGAAGTTGTACTTAAAAATTTTACTACAGTTCTGTATATTTCTAAGTCAAACACTTGTGACTTTTGCTTTAATGACATGGAGATATCTTGCCTCCTGGATATTTGTATTGCTTCTTTTTTGTTTTTCTTCCTAGAGCGGAGGTATAATTGTATGGCTTTTCAGAACTGAGATATAAGTGAATGATTCAAAGAGTCAGAAGTTAAGGAGAATGTTTCTTTGAGGCATAAAGACTGATTCATAATAATCCTTGCCTATGTTTTCCTGATAGCACATGACAAATGTCTCTGAGGTGACAAGAAGAGAACAGGTTACTGATTGTGTGGTATTTGGAACTCGGAAAGAAATAGTTTAATTTTCCAATGTAGTTACAAATGAGAATGTATTCATATTTTGTACTTTCTGTTAAAATGCATGATTGCAGGATTGTTACTTCGATTTTTGTATTTATTCCTGATGAAAAGCTTGGTTTGTTCTTGTTTTTAAGTTTGCACCCGAATCTTAAGAAATAAAACCACCCATGTTACAAGCCACTTTGTGCCTAATGATGTGCCAAGATAAAAATCTGCAGGTTTCAAGAATATTAGCAGATATTCTCCCCCTTCCCTCCCTCCCTTCCTACCTTCCTTCCTTCCCTCCCTCCCCTCCCTTCTCTCTCTCTTTCTCTCTCTCTCCCCTTCCCTCTCTCCCACCCTTCCTTCCTTCCTTTCATCTTTAAAGTTTGTTTGTTTGTTTATTTAAGTAATCTCTACACCCAACATGGGGCTCAAACTCACAATCCCGAGATCAAGAGTAGCACGCTCCTCTGAGCCAGGCAGGTGCCCCTATAGCCAGACTTTTAAACACATATTTAAAAAGTACTCAAATGTAGATTTGTGGAATTGCATAAGCAGCTAACCTGGCCTTTGTAAATCCCTTCCTTTAGTTTGGAGCGCTGGAACCCAAGGCTGTTGCATTGATATAGTTCATAGAGTAGACCTCCTTTGCAACACTGATAATTGTGGAACAACACAGTCCTGTCAGTGTGGGCTATTAGGAGGTGCTAATAAATGATAACTGTTACCTTTAGGCTACTTAAAATTTAAGAAGTCAGTTTATCTGAGTTATATGAGGGTGTTTGTTATCACTATTATTTTTTTTTTTAATGTTTATTTAGAGAGAGGGAGCATGAGCAGTGTGAGGGGCAGAGAGAGAGGAAAGAGAATCCCAATCAGGTCTCCACTGTCAACACAGAGCCCAACACAGGGCTCCATCTCATGACCCGGAGACCATGACTTGAGCCAAAATCAAGAGTCAGACACTTAACTGACTGAGCCACCCAGGTGCCCCAAGATTTTGTTTTTAAGTAATCTCCATACCCAGTGGGGGCTTGAACTCACAACCCCGAGATCAAGAATCACATGCTCCACGGACTGAACCAGCCAGGCACCCCGATGAGGGTGTTTGTTAAATACCGTTTAAGCCCTGGAACCAGACTGGCTTGGGCTGTTCACTCGCTGTGTGACTGAGCAAGTTAATCTCCACCTCTCAGCTGCATTCTTCCATCTGAACAAATGGGGTTGGTTAATAATAGGATCTGCCTCACATGGTGGTTGTGAGGGTTAAAACGCGTTAGTCCATGTAAAATTAGTCCATGTAAAGTGGTTGAAACATAGTAAGCTTTTGTTAGCTATCATCATAATCATCATTATAGCCAGACAATCTTCATCAGTCAGGTTGTTTAACGTATCAGCCAGCACACTCAGGATCGCCTGTCCCTGAAGACTGGAGAGTTCTGAATATGGAGGTAAGGGAGACCTGGCTCATTCTATCACTAGGTTTGTAACCATGGGCAAATGTCATAATACCCTCTTAGCCTTACTTTCTTCTTCCTATATTAAAAAATAAATTAAAAGACCAAACTTCAAAAAAGATACCCTTCGCAAAAAGGGAAAGGTGAATGACAAGAAATAGGGAGTGTAATGGTTTGTGGGGTTCATCACATCTAGCTTTCTGTTGTGACTGTGCTGTCCCAAGCTGGGTTTTTCTGTTTTTTATTTTTTATTTTTATTTTTTTAATTTTAGTATGAGCAGGGGGAGGGGCAGAAGGGGAGAGAGAGGAAAGGACCTTAAGCAGCCTCCATGCTCAGTGTGGAACCAGATACAGGGCTTGATCCCACGACCCTGAGATCATGACCTAAGCTGAAATCAAGAGTTGGATGCTCAACTGACTGAGCCACCCAGGTGCCCTGTTTGGTTTTTTTTTTAATGATGCCTTAGGTCTCAAAGTTCCTAGAAGGAGACGGGGCTGTGGAGGATGCCATCACTAGAAGTGAGGATTCTCCTAGGTCCAAGGAGTCTGCAACTTTCTTGTTTAAAAAAAAAAAAAAATCAGCATTCTGCACACATAATTTAAAGAGCTTTCAAACATTTTTTTTACCATGATTCACAATGCTGTGCACACACACTAACACGTATGTAAAACAATATTTTGTGAAACTGTTTATGTGAAAACAAATACTAATGAGTTACTCACCGACTTTCTATTTCATGTATTTAAATGCTGGTTGTGATCCTCCCTATTGATTTCATGACCCTGCAAAATATTGTGGTCCACCAGCACTTTCTGTGAAGTTGGCCATGTCCTGGATCTCTCCTATCCCTTACAGTAGCCACTAGCCACATGTGGCTGCTGAGCATTTGAAATGGGTTAGTGTGACTGCAGAACTGAATCTTTAATTTCATTCTCATGTTAGACTGCACACCTCTAGGGAATTTACAAGCCACTGTTTGGGAAGCATAGGTTTAAAGCCCACTACCCTACCAAGTCTGTGAAAGAAAGCCATCCCCTGCCCTCATTCCTCCCCCTTCCTCTACCTCAGAGATAACCACTTTTTAAAAAATGATGTTATTTTAGAGAAAGCAGGGGTGAGAGAGGGAGAGAGAATGTTAAGCAGGCTCCACACTCAGCGTGGAGACCGACTTGGGGTTTGATCCCACAACCCTGGGATTATGACCTAAGCTGAAATCAAGAATTGGAAGCTCAATCAACTGGACCACCCAGGTGCCCCATCCACTTTCAACTCTTAGTTTATTGTTTTCGTATTTACTGTCTTGTGTCTAAATAACACGTGTGTGTTGCTACCTCTCTGCTTTGTCATTATTCACTGACCTCTTGTGATACAGGGGCACACTTCCCAACCTGTCAGTATAGAAGTGTAATCAAATCAGTAAGTTTCCGTTAGAATAACTATGCTAGTCAAGGCTGAAACGTGTATACAAGAACTGTGATGAATTCTCCTTTCCTGCGCTTTGAACCCCATAGTGCTCATAAGAAGTCTGTCATGCATCTGCTTGGTTTTCTAAGGATTTAACCCCCGACTCTCCACCAATTGTCCATATACCTCCTTTCAATGTTTACAGATAATAAGTATTCAAACAATTCTTCATCCCTGGGAGAAATATCTCCTAGAACCTTCCTACCAATTTCAAGCTAGATCATTCACCTTCCTTTGCCTTAGGACTATCCCTCCTTTATCTTGGAATCTAACTTCACCATCATCCGGAGAGATCCC